GTTCTATAGATATGGCTTCTGCTGCTTTTATTGAGCCTCTCCCTGTATTAGAGTTTGTTGCCCAACTTCTTGCAAAAGATGTGTTATCAAGGCCATTATCCGATGCTGATCGCATTAAGGTGCTCCTGTTTCAGAGGATTTGGCTCTAGGCTTGTTTCTCTTTTCTTGTTTTTAACTTATACGTTGTTTCCTTGATACCAAAACTAGATTAAAAAGGCTCTTCGAGGAGTGAAAGTTGAGGTTACACACCGAGGCAATGTTCGTAGGAAGTACCGTGTTTCAGGCTTGACATCTCAACCTACGAGAGAACTAGTGTAAGCTTTTCACAAATCTAGTCCCTATCCTTGAGCTATTTAAAAATTTCTTTTTTATTTGTTTGTTGAAGAATACTGTTGTAATCGGTAATTTTTTTCAATATATGGAGTCTTTGAATCAGTGGTGATTTAATAGTTATAGTAGTCCAAAATTGCTCTATGTATATATGTCTAGTGATTTTCTTCTTTTCGTTGCAGTAAATATGACTAATGTTCAGGTTCTTTCTAGTATGCTTTTTCCGTTCTTTGGATATTTCATTATAATCTATTTTTAGGTTTCCTGTCGATGAGAACTCAACGATGAAATCAGTTGTTGAATACTTCCAAGAGATGTATGGTTTCACCATTCAACATGGTCATCTTCCTTGCCTTCAAGTGGGAAATCAGAAGAAGGCAAACTATTTACCCATGGAGGTAAGTAAAGGACTAAGGAGAGGTGTCTCTTCTATGCTTTAGTACCAATTGTCTTAATCCCATTTCTCTCTACAAATTCATTTTTGATACTTGTGTGCTTTGGTCTGCAGGCTTGCAAAATTGTTGAGGGCCAACGATATACGAAAAGGTTAAATGAGAAGCAAATTACAGCTCTACTTAAAGTTACGTGCCAAAGACCGAAGGACCGTGAACATGATATCCTGCAGGTATTTCTTATGTTTTACTCTATAAGATAACAAAAAGTATGTTGAATAGCTTTTTCTTGGCCCTTCCAATTTCAAAATAAAGAATTCAGGACACTAGAAATTCAGGACATTAGTTCTTCAGCTTCATGAACTTATTATAAATAACCTGTATCCTTGGTCTCATCATATGTTAAGAACTGCTTGATCTTTTCTCGTGAAAATATAATGATCAAGATCCTTTTCCAACTTTTGAGCAGACTGTTCAACATAATGCTTATGACCAAGATCCGTATGCGAAAGAGTTTGGCTTGAGGATCAGTGAAAAACTAGCGTCTGTTGAGGCTCGAATTCTTCCTGCTCCCTGGGTATTGCAGTATTTCCCCTTCAGTTTTAATGTGTTTTATAGGGATATTATCCATCATTATTCACCATTTTGATATACAACTTTCTGCAGCTGAAATATCATGAAACCGGGAAGGAAAAGAACTGTTTGCCCCAAGTTGGTCAATGGAACATGATGAACAAGGTATCCTAATTGTGTGTTTATCTCTCTCAGGCTTCCGTTTTGACTAATGCAAAAAGTAACACTCATCCTTCAGAAAACAAGGAAACAAAACCTGTCTCATTTTTATATTGCTTGTATTTCATAGTTGCTGATCTATGCCTTCTCTTTATGCCAATACAGAAAATGATTAATGGAATGACGGTAAGCCGGTGGGCATGCATTAACTTCTCGCGAAGTGTGCAGGAGAGTGTTGCTCGTGGATTTTGCGGTGAACTTGCTCAAATGTGTCAAGTCTCTGGCATGGTAATCTTTTTTTTTCTTTTTTGATTCTGAAGCTCGGTTTCTGCTTGTTTCAACAAGATCAAAGGGTTTTCTGTGTTTGAGCTTTTTTAATAAGAAAGTCTAATTTTCTGCTGTTTGCAGGAATTCAATCCAGAGCCTGTTATTCCAATCTACAATGCTAGACCTGAGCAAGTAGAGAAAGCACTGAAGCATGTTTATCATGCATCCATGAACAAGACAAAGGGGAACGAGTTAGAGCTTCTATTAGCTATTTTACCCGACAACAATGGCTCCCTTTATGGTACGTTGTTTATACTGTCTTTTCCGTGCTGATGAGAGCTTGCATATTGATTATCTCTAGTAACGTTAATGCATATCTTTTTTGAAGATTCTGCTCTAACTTGATTCTCCAATTTTAGGTGATCTCAAACGTATATGTGAAACGGAACTTGGATTAATATCACAGTGCTGTCTCACCAAACATGTCTTCAAAATCAGTAAGCAGTACCTAGCCAACGTGTCCCTGAAGATAAATGTCAAGGTTTGATCAATATTACAACTTGCGTTCCACTATTGGTTATATTCTAGTCTTGTTTTTCCCTGAATAATCAACTTATGTAATACGCAGATGGGTGGTAGAAACACGGTTCTTTTGGACGCTATTAGCTGCAGAATTCCATTAGTCAGTGATGTCCCCACCATAATTTTTGGAGCAGACGTGACCCATCCTGAGAACGGCGAAGACACAAGCCCCTCCATAGCTGCTGTACGATTCTAAGCTTCTTTCAAGGAACTTCTTGTCGTGATAATTGAAGCCTTTGTTGCTAATAGATTTTGGTCTTATTGTAGGTAGTAGCTTCTCAGGACTGGCCTGAAGTGACCAAGTATGCCGGATTAGTCTGTGCACAGGCTCACAGACAGGAACTCATACAGGATCTTTATAAAACATGGCATGACCCGGTTCGTGGAACAGTTAGCGGTGGCATGATCAGGTATACGAAACTTCAAATACTTGGATTTTTTTGTAATCTAGATTCATATTTTTCTTCCCTATTTTGCTCTAGAATTCTAAAGTTATAATTATATTCTCTATTATGCAGGGATCTTCTTGTTTCCTTTAGGAAGGCAACAGGACAGAAGCCACTAAGAATCATATTTTACAGGTGAATTCTTTTTCCTCCGTACACAGTGTATGAGTACTAGTATTTTGCCACTATGTTCCAATAATTAAAAAAATTATGAGTAGTATTCGTGTGATTATAAACCACCTTGATTGTTTATTGGGCATTTTAATCTTTTTCTGGTTGGTCCACATCATCATGGTCACTTTTTTTATTTTTTTATTTTTTTTTTATTTTTTTTATTTTTTTTATTTTTTTTTTATCTATAAGATGAGATATCCACTTAAATTGAGTTTAATAAATGGTTTCCTTGTGAACAGGGATGGTGTAAGTGAAGGGCAGTTCTATCAAGTCCTACTTTATGAGCTGGATGCAATTAGGAAGGTGAGCTTTGTGAATTATTTTTCCAGGAAAAAAAAACAAAATAGTGACTTGACAGTTATTTCTGTGCAGGCTTGTGCTTCTTTGGAACCGAACTACCAACCGCCGGTCACGTTTATAGTCGTGCAAAAACGACACCATACCCGATTGTTTGCTAATAATCACAGAGATAGGAGCAGCACAGACAAGAGTGGGAATATATTACCTGGTAAAAATTGAAAAGTAACTAAAAAATTCATGCTATATTTTTCTACAGATGCATGGAAAGAAAGATTATTTTGAGCTGTTTATTTTTACCTAATGTGGTTTTCATTTGCTTTTCAGGCACTGTTGTTGACTCTAAGATCTGCCATCCAACAGAATTTGATTTTTACCTCTGCAGCCATGCTGGTATTCAGGTTGGGATTTTACTTCCTTTAAATGAACATAAAACAACAACAACAACAACAATAATATAATGTATATGTATACTTCTAGACATTTTGCTTGGAAAATTTTTTTCTAACTCATTAAGTAAAAAATTTGTTTTCCTTTGATGGCAGGGGACAAGTCGACCAGCTCATTATCATGTTCTCTGGGACGAGAATAATTTTACTGCCGATGCAATCCAGTCATTAACAAATAATCTGTGTTATACCTACGCGAGGTGCACTCGGTCCGTTTCTGTTGGTAAGCCGTTGTTCTTTCTCTTCTAATATATTTGATAGATATGCAATATTGTGTTCCCTTTTTTAAAGAGTTAAAAATGTCTACATTGTAACTTCAAAAAATCTTCAGCCTTTTGAGAAAACCTTTTAAGAATATCTAGAAGTTACTGGTGAGGTTTTCAGGAGGATATATGGTTGTTTTTAGCTTCGTTGAAGCTTCATTAAAACTTGGTTGCTAAAAGGGTCAATGAAGTCATTAGTCATGTTTATGATCAAGTATTGCAAATGCTTTATTTTTATGTGATTTTTTTTGTTCAATCTGATGAATAGTTCTCGGAACATAAAAAACTATGCAAAAAGAGCAGAACTTAGAAAACAACAATTATTTTTCCACAGTCCTCAGATGAAATGCTTTTTACAAGCAAACTATAAATGACCGAACTTTTTGCTCTAATGTAGTTCCTCCAGCGTACTATGCACATTTGGCGGCCTTCCGAGCACGATTCTACATGGAACCGGAGATGCAGGAAAACAACTCGAACGGTCATGCATCCAAGGGCACTCGGACCACAGGAGAGCTTGGGGTTCGGCCGTTGCCAGCCTTGAAGGAAAATGTGAAGAGAGTAATGTTCTATTGCTAGAAGGAAAAGGAAGGAAGGAAAGAGGGTTAATGGGTTGGACAGCAATCATGATATGTGTTGAAATTCCTTGTGTTGTATAAGTGTATGTATCATCATTATGCATGGTTGCTGTTTTAGTTACCTTCTTTCCCAATGTCCCAGAAGAAAGTTAAAAAATGAACACAAACCAAAGGGCCAAAAAGAAAGAAAAAGTGAAAAGGAAATTGAGAAAAAAAAAAGTCCTTCCCCATGTTTAGTTTTAACATGTTAGTGTTGTGGCAGGATAGGGTACGTTAGATGCTCTGACCAAAAACTTTGGGAAGTAGACTAGTCAGCATAGTGAAGACAGGTTTTCCTTTGTCTCTGTACAATGCAGTGAAAACCCCATTTTGGGGTAGGAAGTCCAAAGTAGCTTTGTAAAGAGGTTTTTAGAAATGAATTATCTTTTGCGTAGGAATTTTGGCTCAGAAATCTGGCTTTCTTCAAAGTTGGTTTGTTTTTACTGTTCTATTTTGTTTGTTTGTTTGCCCGGTGTGTGAAATGCACAAAGGATACAAGGTTGTCTCTTTGTGAAACAAGGGTATTTCTTTTTCTCCGGCTTCAACAAGGAGATTCTTCAATTTTCAGGAAAGAAAAGCGAATTTGACCGACTGCCTAAACAGGGTACATTGGACGCCAATTACACATGAAAGTGTTAATTGAATGTTGAAGCATTGTTTTTGTATGTAGACAGTATGATCTTACCAACAAAGACGTGTCAATCATCTTCATGACTTATTCAGGGTTCGAGACTTGCATAAGTTAGAACTCTTTGACACGAGGTCAAGGATCTCCGGTCATCTTTGTGACTTGATTCAAGGCTTGACCTCCAATCATCTTTGTGACTTGATTCAAGGTTCGAGACTTGAGTAAAGTTAGAACTCTTTGACATGAGGTCAAGGATCTCCGATAATCTTTGTGACTTGATTCAAGGCTTGACCTCCGATCATCTTTGTGACTTTATTCAAGGTTCGAGACTTGAGTAAAGTTAGAACTCTTTGACACGAGGTCAAGGATCTCCGATCGTCTTCACGTCTTGCTTTAGGATAGTTGGGACTTCTTTGACACGAGATCATTGATCTCCGATTGTCTTCGCGTCCTGAGGTCGACATTTGTAAATTAGAACTGCTTGACGCTTAATTAAGGTTAATTGAGACTTTTGTCAAGTTAGAACTCTTTCGATGTAAAGGTCGATCTCGAATTTTTTTCACAACCTTGATTCAGGCCTTTCAGGCTTTTATAAATTATAATTCTTTTGATGCCCGATTCTATAATAAGAGGTCAGATAAGGGAGTACGTAGAGTCTAGAGTGATGCATTCTCCCACCTTCGTCATGCGTCATGGTTATATATATACACACACACATATACATATATATATATATATATATATAATGTATGGTCCGCATGATATCATAATCATTCATTAAACGAACTCATAATGAAATATTATTTGGAGAATGTAATGAAAATTTGAGAGTGTCAAGCCACATGTTTTTGCATCATATCATAGAATTCCTCGTACAAACAATTATCCATCTAGTTTTTGCATGCATAGACTCGTGGATCCCTGCACGTTGATCAAAAGGAAAAATAATATAGTTGAGGATCCTCTAATCATATAGAATAAATATTTATGGCCTTTCTTAAATACTACATGGGATTTAAAATTAAGAAAAATACTATAAGATTCTTACATAACTTTTTTCATTATATATTAACTTAAAGGGGCGAATTTTAAGAGAATGGCATAAACAAGTGCTTACATAAACTGTCTATTTTAAGAACCCCATTTTCGAAAATGTTAATTTATTTATTTTAATGTTACAGCTCTATCTAATTTTCTTAAAATTAATTGTTTGCGGTACCCGTTTTGCCCTTTTTGTCTATTGTGACATGTTTGTAATTTTTATGATAATGACCACAATTTCATATTGTACATAAACGTTGTTAATCTTTTCAAATTTTTGATCTTCTTTATAACAAAGGTCAATTTTTATTTTCTTGTTCGTTAATAATCATAGTGTTATATATATATATATATATATATATAATGACAATATTTGCAAGTACATATACATTGTCGATTTTTTAAAATTTTTAGTAAAATTGCATCATCGTAAAGTAGCAGTATAATTCCATTATTAGTGTTAGAAATGTTATTATACATATGGCTTAGGTAGTTTTACGATGGAATGAAATTGTTGACAACTTTAAACACTGCACAATAATATTTTACATTTGACTATCTCATAATTAACCAAGAACACACAAAACTAAAGAGATGATGGGGAAAACAGTTCCTAATTTTTCCAATATTAGTTTCTAGAGAAGAAGCCATTACATGTTTTGGGCCCAGATTGAACAGTGCCATATTAACCCAGAGGTGAAGTTTGGGGGTCTATTCGAAGAACAAAATGAGAAGGCATTTTCCTTCCCTAAATTTTTTCAGTCAAGAAGATGCGAGTGTACGTGTTTGTCTATGTGTGTCGATATATATATATATATATATATATATATATATATATATGCATAGGGCCCGTTCATCTCACTAATTCGAGTTTTGTTACAGTAAAAAGCTCTCAAAAAACAGTCACATTTAACTTTTTTATTAATGTAAAAAGCTCTCACATAAAGTCACATCTCAACTCGAATTAAAAACTCGAATCAACAAACTAAACGGGCCCATAATATATAATATATCAAATGTGATTTGACGATTCAGAACTATGTTTTACCGGCAGATTTTACGTTCTTTACCACGGAATTCTCTTATCTAGAAGATTTTAACTTTTGAAGCGTTAGTTTATGAAAATATTTCCCTAGGGTTATATAAGTGAAACTGAATCCATATATACTGTAATTTAGAGGCACGTATTATATTTCCATGCATTTCTTTTTCTCTTTTTTTCCCCTTAAAAATAAAGGAAATCTAGAATATAACTCCTATTCTTTAAATCCAATTTCTTTTTTTTTTTTCTGACAAGTTAAACCACATATCCATACATCTTACATTGATATTGTCATATTGATTTTATAAGTTGCATCTTGTGTGCTCCATCTATTTAAATTTAAGGTTCATAATTCAAAATAGGTAAAACACTTATGCTCCTAAAGATATCCAATATGCTTCCTTGTACTATAGATTGATTATTTTTCGGATTTCACTTGTGTTAAATTGTACACTATCAAAAGGCTACGATGATATATCTTACATTGAAGGAAGAATTTTGCTTCCGTTGAACACATTGGTTGTATACACGGTTGGTGAAAATGAAACATGAAATTTAATAATAATCAAAAGGGGATTACATGAAAAAGTATATATATATATATATATATGGTTTTAATGGTTACTCAAATATTTACCCATTAATAAATATTTTTATTTTAATCGTAAAATATTGATCTGACAATTGTAATGAATTAGATAGTTAATAAAAAAAATTAATGACAATTAATGAACTGAATTCTTATCACGACACATCATTAAATTTCTATATTTAATGATAATCACCGATGAAAACGTAATCATTGAAAACACACATATATATATATATATATATATCATTAAAAGGCACCAAAAGCTGCAGTTGCCTCGATCAGATCAACCTAAATGTTTGAGGAAGATGGGGAACGTCTCAATATATCTTTTTCCCCGTGACAGTGCAGATTTCAGAAACTCCACTCTAATCACATAAACCAAACAAATTAGTATTAATCCACATGACTGTTACATAGTTTCTTTTCTAGGGAAGTTTCTTCTTAACCCCCAAAAAAAAAAAAAAAAAAGAAACTTGTTACAAAGAGACTACTATAATTCCCATCGTATAATTACATACAATTCAGTTATATATATATATATATATATATATATATATGTACATATGATCACATGGTAGAAGAAACTCAAAAGATCAGAAGCGGTTCCGCTTGAACAAACACACACACACACACACACATATATATACATGTACATATACATATAAATATACATATATACACAACATACACACATTCACACACACACACACACACACACACACACACAGAGCATCTTGATTAAATGGTATGCAAGTGCAACAAATTAGGAAGATTATAGTCAGAATCAAATAGTGACTGTTTTTGGTTCGTTGGTATTTACTTAGGAAAAATTGAAAACTGCAGGGAATCATGATTACATAAGGTTCTACAAGTCAGAATTCAAAGTAAAGCTAAGTCTAACATGAAGGGAAGTTATAGATAGTCTTGTGGAGAGAGAGAGGAAGAGAGATTTCTCTAATTTCACCACATTAGAACATATATACTGCTATATATAGACATGCATTAGTACATTAATACGTGCGTTAGTAGAACATTTTAAGAGATTAATGCCAAAAGAAATTTGATTCTAAAGTGGTTAGGATCTTTTTTTTTGTGGCTAAATATTCTGTTTAATTTGGACGTTGTTTTTCAACTTAAGTAACCAGATCTCCTAATTAAGCTCCTAGAAATGAAAAAAAAAAATGCAAATTAAAACCAAAAGACCACGCGATCCATGCTCTTCTAAATAAGAATTAGAGGAAAAGAAAGAAATTTACTCATAAATAATGTTACAAAAAGATCGACATATATATACTCTTGCGACATGATCATGATCTGAACCTAAATTAGTCAGAAAAGAAAGATATCAGTGTCATGATCTATGAGCTAAATCAGCAAGAGCTAGATGCTTATTTGATCATGAGAACCTTGTAATGGGACAAACTCATCAGTCCATTGTCTTAGTCTTGTCAGTAATACTAATATTCAAACAGTTACTCAACTGGTTATAACAGTTTTCAACTGAAGATCTATCAAAATATATTAAGATGATGTCTATCACAAGTACATTGCAAGGAAACTCCAAGTTACACACACACTCAGACACATATACACACACACACACACACACATATATATATATATATATATATATATATATACTCTCACTCTAGCTATCAGATCTACAAATTTTGACATTTCAAGGACAAATAACCGTACCTAGCTATCTGGGAAAACCCTCACAGAATGGAATCCTATATTTTCACACTTACATATACAGAAACCTAGAGCTAGAGGGAAAAAGGAAAAAAAAAAAGAAAGAAAAAAAAAAAGAAAGCAAAAGTACTTCTAATTAGTGCCAGTGTGATATCAAAAATCTCTCTCGCTCTCTCTCTCTCTCTCCACAGAAACCCTAGACAGAGAAATGAATGTACTAGGGCTTAATCCATATCAACAACAGAGAGAAGTACAGGGACCTTGAGTTGTGCATAGAAATGCACTGAACTCACTAAACAACTTTAGTGTGTGTCTGTGTGTGTGTATACACATATATATATGTTTCTGACATAGTAACTCAATGTTAAATTGTTTAGCCCATGCCTCCTTCATGTAAGAGGTAATAAAAAAAGAAAAAAAAGGCCTAAATATAGAGGTAAGATGATCAGTAAA